AAGTAAGTAAGTAGTGACTGTCACAAGGTCACCTCATGAACTGACTCCTCATTATTTAATCAAATTAATCAAGTAAGTAGTGACTGTCACAAAGTTACTACATGAAGTGAGTACTAAGTATTGGGTTATAAAATAACCAAGTGATTTTCACGTAACTGAGTAGTGATAGTCACAGGGTTACTACACTATCTAGATTCTCATTATTAAATTGAAAATTAAGCCAGTAAGAAGTAGCAATAACAAGGTTATAACATGAATTGGATCCCCATAATTAAATTAACAAATAAGCAAGTGAGTAGTGACAGTCATAAGGTTATTACATGAAGGAAGTACTGATTATTAGGTTATTTAGAAGTGTGAATAGAACGGGGATGCTGTCGTGGGTTTCGTTATCTATAGTGCCAAAAATGATTTGGATATTTAAAAATAGATATGTTACGCTCAAGCTCAGGATTAAGTCATTCACCGAAAAAAAATTTACCATTTGCGATTTGAGCATGTCAAAATTATTAAAGATCGAAATGAAATATTATTTCGGTGTTTATGCATTTTTTTTCTCAAATTGCGAAACAAAATATACTTTGTTTGTCTGTTGTTCTTGTTATTAAGCACAAATCTACACAATCGGAGAAACATAAAATACAAAATATGCTTTGTTTGTCTGTTATTGTTATTAAGCACATATCTGCACAATGGGCGAAACATAAAATACAAAATATGCTTTCTTTGTCTGTTATTGTTATTAAGCACAAATCTGCACAATGGGCGAAACATAAAATACAAAATATGCTTTCTTTGTCTGTTATTGTTATTAAGCACAAATCTGCACAATTGGCGAAACATAAAATACAAAATATGCTTTCTTTGTCTGTTATTGTTATTAAGCACAAATCTGCACAATGGGCGAAACATAAAATACAAAATATGCTTTCTTTGTCTGTTGTTATCGTTATTAAGCACAAATCTACACAATGAGCTGTCTGTGATGTGCCCACTACGAATATCGAAACAAGGTTTTCAGTGTTATAAGCCTTCAGACTTACCGCTGAGCCACTGTTACTGCACTTCCTGAACAGAGCTTGAAAATACTGCTTGAGCTGCGAATAGTAATGAATTGCATAAATGTGCACCACGTGAAATACAAAATTTATAAACAATCAAAAGAAGCATGTTTTTATGATTTTTTATTCATTTTCAACTACAGCTTTTTCATGACAAAACTAATAAGTGAATGATATTCTCATCTCTCACTCTCTTTAAAATAACTGCTTCTTGATTCAAGTTAACAGCTCAACAATGTTCTTGTCCAGATTAACTCGCTGTACTTTGATTTAGACTAAGAACAAGTTAATTTTCTCACTCTGATTCCGATAACTGCTTCTTTATTCAAACTAAAAACAGGCTTATTTTCTCACTCTAGTTAAGATAACCCCTTCTTTTTCAGACTGAAAACTGTGTGATTTTCTCACTCTGATTTGGATAACTGCTTTTTTATTCAAAGTAAGAAACGAGTAATTTTCTCACTCTGATTAGGATAACAGCTTCTTTATTCAAACTAAGAAACAAGTAATTTTTCCACCCTCATTAAGAGAACTGCTTTTTTTTTCAATCTAAGAACCAGTAGTTTCATACTCTGATTAGGATAACTGCTTTTTAATTCAAACTAAAAACCAAGTAGTTTTTACACTCTGATTAGGATAACTGATTCTTTGTTCAAATTAATAACCGGATGATTTTCTCATTATAATTACTTCTTAATTAAAATTAACAAACGGTCATTTTCTCATCCTGCTTGGTTAACAGTAAGCTATTAATAATCTATTTTAACACTAAGCGTTGAGTAATTTTCTCGTTTTGATTAGAGTAACTGCTCTTGATTTAAAGGATTTTATTTTAAAAATAGTACCGCATGTCTTGCGGCAACGAGCCTCGAATCATAAACCCTCAGATAGATCCACAGTCTGAGCACAGTAACCACTAGAGCTATACCCAGCTCTCATCAAACTTGAACTTATTTTTATTGCACTTTTGCTTTTAGCGTCATTCAGGCAACGAAGTTAGTGTATGGCATTGTCAATATTTATAATTACATACCTTTCAACGATAGTTCTTGACAGATCACCTAAATTCATTTGGGCAATAACTGACTGTATAATCTAATAAAATGACAAGTAATTCCAACAGAGCACTCACTACAAGATAACCAAACTTCATTATCGACCAACTTAGAAAGTTTCCGAGTATAAAGAACAGAAACTGCAACTCATAGCGGAACTACGTCACAATACATTTAGTTAATTAGAGAAACTAACCAACAAGCTTCAATACTCACAGTAGTCTAGCGCGAAAAGTGATAATAACGAGATTAGAGACGGAGAGTACTGCAGGTTAATTTGTCGCAATATTAATTTGCTGCCTAGTTGATGTAACAGCGTCTTTAGAATAAAGTGCCACCATTACTGTAGTGATAAATATTTATTAAATAATTTTGTTTCTTGGTCAGTTTGAATCTCTAGACACGTGAAATTGTACTTTGATCTTCTTAAAAGCATATACCACGTCGCTTGATGTTAAGACGTCTCGTTTACACGGATTTTACTACGGAGTTTTGATAACTCTTTATTTTGGTTATAGATTTGTCAACGCATTTCCGAACGCAACGACTTCATCGTGCGTGGCGGTTCATGGTCTTTATAGCACAACAGTGCGATCTGTCACATGATTCTGTATACCAAAGTTCACTTGTATAATCATTTGTAAGTCTAATATAATGCGCAGTGAGCTAAAATGCTTATTTTATTTGTAATGATAATAGCATTGTATCTGTATAACAGATTCTCTCTAACTTACATTCAGTAGTAACATCATATCAGTATTCTAGAATGTATTTATTCTTTTACTTTCAAGTTCAGTAAAATATTCTCTAGATGGCTGGGGATTTGTTTGTTTGTAGTTTAGTACAAAGCTACACAATGGGCTATCGAAACCCAGTTTTTGGTTTTATAAGTCTTCAAACTTACCGTTGTGCCACTGGGATGCGTGCTAATCAGCTTGGAGATGTAGCGTGTAGACGAAAAACTATTTAAGTCTGACTGAAAATAATAAAGCTCTCTCAAGTATGTCTGGATTACAAAATTTTCCATTTTGTGGTCAGTTAGAAAGGAAAACGAATAGTACTAATGTATATATTCGGTTTGCTTCGTAAAGTTATTGTGTATTTAAATAGGGTTTGAGATCATACTAGGTGAGAGTAGAAATCCAATACATCAAGTCCCCCCTCTTCATATCTTCCCTATCTTGCCAATTTTCATGAGAAATCGTCACTACCAAAAGAAAAAATTAATTCAGCAAAAGTCCACACGGTCTAGACAATGAAACATGTGATCAAAATAGTTTACATGTGCCAGTACAGGCATGTTAGAATAAAGAGGTTACTCATATAAAAGGGATAACTTATATAGATTGATAACTCCTGTAAAGATATAATATAAAAGTAGGTAAGCTAAACAAAAATATATCATGGGGGACTTAGCCCCCTCCTATTTTTTATTGTAGCAACATAATTATAAAAAGGAGCCCAGTTTTCTCTAATTATTCCATGGTTAACTTATCTTCTTTTGTATTAAATCATTACTGGGCTTTTCCTTTTATATAACTTGAGTCTTTTTGATATTACATTTTTATATGACTGACCACCTTTATTCTAACACGGCTGTTTTTGTACGTGTGAAATATTTTGATCAGATAATATATTTTTTGTTTTGATTATTGTTATTTTAAAATTAATAAAAAAATAAGATTCCCCGAACTGTTCCTGCCCAGAGGAGCTACCAACATTGGTGCAACGTCTTAGACTACTACGCTATTCCCTCTTTTCAGATTTTACAACTGTTCGTATACTAAAGTGTCACCAATTATATTTTTGTGACCATATAGACCAATTTACCACTAAAATTACCAAATATATGAGTGTGTTATAGCTGTTAAGCCTAGATCAGATTAAAATCTGCCAGTGGACTTCATTTTCGTGCAAGTCCTTCCATGTTTAGTATATGTTTTTTTCTTCAACAGGGAGATGAAGAACAACAATAATTTTACCAATTCTTGACTGTTTATTTTTGTTAATATAAACAGATATGATGCTGATATTAATAGCATGATGGAAAACGTTTAGATCTCTTCAGAGAAATAAGAATAGTAGAATCCAGTATGTGGAATGGCTGTAGCAATACCCCTGATTTTACCAAATAGTTCTGTCCTCCGAGTATATTAAGTCATTGTAGTGTTACTTCAGCCTTCTAACTTCAATGAAGTTACTACCTTGACTCTAGATATCAAAGAGCACTTAAGTTACGAGTTTGGCACCAGAGAGCGTTGGACACTGAAAATCTGTTTTCTTTTTCAATCTATTTATCTGTTTACAACTACTTATATGTTTGCACACGCGTTTATGGAACGTACTTTTGATGGTAACTGTAAAGATAAGTTCATTGGTATCATTTATTACATTTCGCTTATTCCGTACATTTTGTGTATTTTTATATTACAAGCATTTAAAGAGAATATCGTAGAAAGAACCCGTTTAAAATGCAATTTATTTTCTTTCTGCCATTTTGAAATACGTGAGGTAAGAGGAAAACCATTAATGCATGCAGGATTTTCAGATCATAAATCCAATAAAGTTGCTTTGAAATATTCTATAAAATGTCGTAAAAAAATATAAATTTCCATAAGGATCCACATTAATAAAATATTTCTATAACTCATACATTTACTTGTTTGATGTTTATTAATACATGTTTAGAAAACGTACTTGAGAATTGCACCTGAAATTGTTTGAAAATATTTCAAAACGTACTTGAGAATTGCACCTAAAATTGTTTGAAAATATTTCCATTCATACTTTCTGATGGTGTGACAAGAGAATTATTATTATATTGCTGTTTTGATTAACAATTATTAAGCACCATATAAGTCGAAAAGTTTTATTCTCCCGCTAGGTGGTTTCCCCAACAGACCTTCTTCACGCTGTAGTAGCATTGTACAACACCTGTTTACCAAGATTTTCTCCACAGTCTGTATACAACACTATTTGTGGAGAGGGATCAAGAACTTTGCTTTTGTTAAGAAACTCATCAGGTTTGTATTTGTTCTTTCTCACCGTTTACAGTGCAGGTATAAAATAATTAGTTGTAAGGCATAACTTGTTTAAGAGAAAATAATTAATTACAAGTGTAATTTTCTCTTCCGAGCTTTAATGCGTATTCTAGTTGTACATTATAGAAACTGCTTCTGTCATTCTCATAGAATATATATGTGTGTGTTTAAATATATATATGTGTGTATATATAAGAGTAATATCAAACCCAACCACTCGGTCTGACAGGAATAGCCCAACTTAGAAAGGTAGGACTCGTACAACGCTATCAATTGGGTTTCAATATCCGGGGTGAGCAGAGCACAGATAGCCCATTATGTAACTTTGTGCTTAATAATAAAAAACAGAAGTGTGATTTGTGGAATACTTCGATTAAACTTTCATTATGAACCACGATAGTGGTTCATAATAGGGTTCGTCCAATAGGATATATGGGCAAAAGACATTCTTAAAAAGCAGACATTTTCATGTAAAGACTCAAGACCTTCTATCTCAAAGGATGTTAAAATATTTATAATAGCAAAAAAATCTATTTTCCGGTTGTTAGACAAAATTCAAGTCTACAGAAAAAACATTTATGAATATTTTATTCGAACCTGGTCAAACCTGCGCAGGTTATGGGAATATTTTTATGTCAATTCTTGAAAGAGAAGGAAAGGTTTTATCAACTTTTATATTAGATGACGAGGAACCCACTTTGAGACTAATAATGGTTGGAGACGGCTTGAATGGGTAATGAAGAAAAACGTTAATACAAGTTTAACATACAAGTTGGTTTTAGATACCTTCAATTTCAAATATACACTAGAACAACTAACTTCGAAAGCCTTAATGGCTAGTTTTGATTTCGTGTCACTCGTCACCGAAGTCCCCGCCAATGAAGCTTGCAATATTGCACTCAACCTCTACATTAATGACTCCAACAAGTTAATGCACGTCCCCAGCATACTTTTTGCTTCTATCTTAGAATTTACAACGACTAAAACCAACTTCATTTTCAACAACGAACATTTCCTTCAAATAGATGGTTTAAGTATGGGCAAT